TCTGGCAGAGGGGCTGGGGGGGGGGGCGGGGGGATAGGTATTTTCAGAATAATTAGAGAGTGCAAAATGACTCAGGTGGCAGGGTTGGGAATCCCTGGCTTGCAGAAACTTTAGTTTACATTAAAGAAGGACTCCGGGGATTTAAAAAGTTACCCTTCCAGTGGAGCTACCCCCGCACTGCAAGGGTTAAGTGCGTATTTTGTCTAGGGGGCTGAAATAAAGCAAATATACTCACCTGCTTCTCCGTCCCCCGGGCTGCTAGACTGGTCCCTGCAACCTCTTCTTTCCTGAGCTCCAGCAGTCTAAGGACCGCTGATGTCATCAAGTCTTATGCAGGTCCATTGATTTGCATTACATGTGAGGATGTCGAGGGACATTCCATACCCAGAGAGATGAGGGCTGATCACCGTGGGACAGAGGATTAAAGTAGCATTAAGTTCTGGGCGTTTTTTACCTTAATGCATTCTCTGCATTCGGGTACAAAGCGCACAGAATCTTTTTCTCCCCCAGTCACCCCCCACACTTACCTGTTAGCTTCGCTCGTCCCCACCACCGGTCCCGAAGTGATCCTCCGTTCCCCGTAGTTCCTGGTTGTAGGGGAGGATGCTGATGGCAGGGGAGCCATAGGTTTCTTCTGCCATCAATCAAAGAGGGAAGGGGCGTGGCCTGCCACAGGGCTGTGTGTGTCTATGGACGCAAACAGCCACTGCGGGCAAGAGCACGCACGTGTGCCTCCGTTAGCCGATGGAGGCACCCGTGCAGGGGGAAGAGTGCTGCGGGGACCCACTTGAAAACAAGGAATTTAAAACTTTTAAAGAAAAAGAACAACATCCTCAGGCAAAGGTGGATGTCCTAATAGCAAATATTAAAAAAGAAAGGTTTAATATCACTTTAAGTGAGTTTATCTGCTTGATTTGAGCCCCCTAGACAAACCAAGCACTTAACCCTTGCAGTGCTGGGGTTACTCTGCTGCAAGTGTAAGTTTTTTTACATTCCCAGAGTTCTTCCTCCAAGTGGGCCTAGCACCAGATATATTTTTCCTGATAAGAGTAATGCATACGCTTAATACTTACAGCTATTTATTCCCCCTAACAATACCCCTCTTGCAAATGTCTTCATGGGATTTCTCCCCCAAACAGCACCATCTTTGTTAAGGTATCATCCTGGGACAGCATCTACTTCCTGCACAGAGATGCTGGCTCATACATGACACAACCATGTTAATGCCCATGGAGTTGTTAGGTGTGTACACAAAAGTTATGATGCAAATCAGCCCCTGCTGCAGCCTCTCATTTTATGACT